TTCAAACAGTGTTTCACCAAATAAACTTATCAAAAGAGTCATAGTTAATTCTTCAATTCTGTTGAGAGGATTTGTTGATACTGGAAGTTCAATCTGTACAATACGTGCTGGGGTTGTAAGAAAATTTGGTTTGTCAACAATAGAGGACCAACAACCTTTATATGGATTTGGTGGAGATATTGAACCAGTGCTCTATTCACAGGGTAGAGTGAGTGCCAGTCTATCAATTGACAATGTTAGTGCAGACCAAATTGATGTGTGGATTGTGCCAGATAATGCTCAAGAAACAGACTTATTGATTGGTAGATCATTCTGTGATCTTGATCACATTGCCTATATCAGTGTAGGTGATGAATTGACTTTTGGTTATGCTAGTGAACAACCATTCAAAGACATTGATGTTAAAGCTATCGTTAAAATGAACTCTTGTGTGGACTATAAAACTATTGAGAAAACAAAAATAAACAGGTATACTCAACATGATATTGATGTTGAGCATGATAATAAACATATGGTGCTGAGAGTTTATAATGCATCAGATAAGGACATATTATGCCAAGCTGGCCAAAACTTGAAGATGCTTGAGAAAGAAGCAACTATATGGAACCTGTGTCAAATTTGTTGAGTATGAAACGACTTCCTATAACTATGGATATGATTAATGTTTCTGAGGAAACTTCACATATGCAAAAGTAAGAGTTGTTTGAGCTATTGTGTGAGTATCGAGATTGTTTTGCCTTGTGCATGGATGAGTTAGGGTGCACGAATGTGATTCAAATGGACATACTTGATGATAATCATCCAGTCAAGTGTCATCCTTATAAAGTTTCTGCAACAGACAGAGCAACAATTGCAGAATTAGTAAACGAACTAAAAAGGCGTGGAATTGTCACTGACACAACAAGTCCATATGCTTCCCCGGTTTTACTAGTACATAAGAAAAATGGAGATCCAAGGCTAGTAGTTGACTATCGAAAACTTAATAGTCAGACAATACCAATTGAGCAATTCCAACATCTAGCAGGAAATGAACTTTTTGCTTGCTTGGATTTAGCAAATGGATATATGCAGGTTCCACTCACAGAAGCAGCTTCTCAGAAAACAGCATTCATCACTCCTGATACAACTGGAGAGTTTAAACGCATGATTTTTTGCCTTACCAATGCACCTTATGAATTCGTGCGTCTGATGAATGTAGTACTTGGACCACTAAGGAATAAGATCTGTTGTTGTTATCTGGACGACGTAATTATTCCTGCAAAGAATTGGAATGAACTGTTACAAAGATTGGAATTGGTGTTGCAAGCATTTCGAGATGCAAATTTGACACTAAATTTGAAAATGTGCGAATTTGGCAAAAAGGAGATCACTTTCTTAGGCTACAAGATTTGCGAAGAAGGACTGGAACCTGGAACACAAAAACTGAGTGCAGTGGAGGAGTTTCCGGAGCCGAAGAATGTCCATGAAATACGTAGGTTTCTTGGATTGACTGGGTTCTTTAGACGATTCATACCTAACTATGCAATCATCGCAAGACCGCTCACCGATCTCACGAAAAAGGATTGTATGTTCGATTTCCATGAGAAATGTCGTGAGTCTTTCTTAAAACTGAAACAATGTTTAATAAAATATCCTGTATTGAAGCTTTACGACTGTAATGCGGAAACGGAATTACACACAGACGCTAGTGCTGTAGGCATTGCAGGAATGCTACTTCAGGTCGACGAGACAGGACAGAAAAGGTTAGTTAGACACTGCGTGTCAAACAAAACTACCGAAAGTGAAAGCAAGTATCATTCTCCTCGACTCGAACTTTTAGCCATTATCTGGAGTGTAGAGAGGTTGCGATCACTGCTTATAGGCATAAAGTTCAAGATAATAACTGATTGCCAAGCCATAATATTTCTGAATAGTATAAAGAGTATTCATCCCCAAGTAGCTCGCTGGTTCAGTATACTTCAAGAATACCAATATGAGCTAGAATACAGGAAAGGAGAGCGAATGGCCCACATTGATGCCCTAAGTCGAGCACCCGTTGAGGAGGCTGATGAGGATACACAGGACAAAGTTTTTGATAAAAGACTTACGGTGATGACTACTACTTTGACAGAGCAAGTGAAGATAGCTATGATTCAGCGAAGTGACGAGCGCCTGAGAAGATTAATGGAAATATTGGAAAAACCAAAGGAGGAAAGGAGTAGAGAAGAGAGAGATGCTGTTAAATAATATGAGTTGATTCAAGGGAAGTTGGTAATCAACCGAAAAATATATTCAGAGGAAAGAAAACTGTTCGTAGTACCAGGATCTATGAAGAAAAGTATCGTAGTGAAAAATCATGATCTTGCTGGACATTTTGCGGTAGAAAGGACAGTATCCAGAATTTTAGAAAAGTATTGGTTCCCAAGACATCGTACCTATGTGAAAAGACACATTGCTGGTTGCATGGAGTGCCTTATTAATAAAATTCCAGCCGGAAAACAAGCAGGTTTGCTTAACCCCATACCTCCAACCAATAGATTTTTCCAGATGGTACATATTGATCATGTCGGACCGTTCATCAAGAGTGCAATAGGTAATGAGTATATTTTCGAAATAATCGACGCTTTTACTAGGTATGTCAATTTTTACCCTGTAAAGAGCACCAAAACTAGTGCAGTAATACGTAGTTTGGAGGACTTCATACTGAGACATGGAATTCCACAAACAATGGTGTGTGATCGAGGAGCTAGTTTCACCTCAAAGGCATTTCAGTCTTTTTGTGAGGAAAAAGGAATAAGATTGATATTCAATTCACCTAGGCATGTCCAAGCAAATGGCATGATTGAACGAATTAATCGAACTCTCATCCCAGTTATTCAAGCCGAAATGAGCAATGAAAGAAATTGGGACAAAAGTATTAAGAAAGTTCAATGGGATTTGAATACCTCTATAACAAAACGACGAGACAGTCTCCATATAAGCTATTGTATGGATATTTTCCGGAGATTGACAATGCCAGATTAGAAGCTCTAATGAACCATAATCAACCAGCGCCGATTGAAACTTTGTACCGTAAAGCATTGGACAATATAGCAGTGGAACAGAGAAGATACAAGAAGCAATTTGACAAAAAGCGATATGTGGGAGCTTCAACGGTAGCCACAGGACAGAGTACCAAATTGCAGAATAAATATAAAGGCCCTTATGTTGTTTTGGAGTGCCTGCCAAGCAATACCTACCGTATCGAAAAATTACAGTGTGGAGATGACAATAGGAAACACTCCACAACTGCACATGTATCTCAACTTAAAGGATACTATAACCCTCAGAGGGAAACATAGACGTACCCGATATTGAAGAGAATCAATTTGAACCACCAGATGAACTTGAAGATGTGAGGATGCCAAAGGGAGATGTACCAATCGGACGCCCCAAGAGAGCTAGTAAGAAGCCAGAAAGATTCAATGATTATCTTTTTGATTATGACTTTTGTTTCGAATCATTAGTTTGAAAAAAAAAGTGAAACTAAATTAAGATTTATTGTTCTAGTTGTAAATGTTTGTAAATGATTAAAAAAAAAGGGAAAGTGCGGGGTCGCCCTTTTTGTCAGGATGGTCGAATGTAAGAATGAACTTTCGTTACTTATCCATGTTCCATGTCAAAATTATATGTTTGATGGTTTTTGTGTATTGTATCAAGAAAATGATGTATGACAGAAGAGAGGTTAGGGAGAGAGAAACTCAAGGGAAGTGTAAAGATGATATTATTTATGAGTTAGGTACTGAGTGTGGCCATCAAGAGAGATTCATATAAATGTTTGATATCTAACACCTATAAGAATAAAAGTGATGAAATAATCAATCGAAATAATTCAATTACAAATACCCATAAACACGTGTATCTGAATAACGTTGAAAAAATTTAAGGGGTGATTCCTTGTGATATTCTAGCAAATAAAGTTCTTAACAAACTTGTGTCCCAACTTGCTCCGTTTTTGAGATACAGGATGTTGAAGGTGGAAGTAGTAATCGTTTTTATTTCTATAACTCCCCTGTATAAGCTCTCATGGTGCCAAAATTCAGTATGGTTGGATACTGAGAAAGCCCCAAAATTTCAAAATGATTTTAATTTGGGTTATTGGGTAATCTCAAAGGAAGTCTTGAAAACACCTATATTAAATTTGGAGTCAAATCGAATTTTTATTGTTTCCTCAAAAACAAAGGCAGATACAAAAATCACACAGGCGATGAAAAAGTTGTTATTCATATAATAAAAATATGAATACCCTGTATCTCGAAAACGAAGCAACTTAGGACACATGCTCATGTGAACTTTATTTCCTAAAATATCACAAGGAATTACCCCTTGGATTGTTTCGGTGTTATTTGGATACACCTTGTATATCGAAAATATTTTATAAAAAAAAAGGTCTCCCACGGGCTCTTAGACTATACCCACGCATATTCAAATCGTGAAATCACTTTTCTTACGTTGTTTTTAATAGATATTTGTTAGTCCGACCCTGCTTGAGAACACGTGCGGATGACTTGCAAACGTCGGAACATATCTCTGACTTGTATCTATATAATATATGAACTTGGCTCGTAGTCGGCATCTTCATACGAGAAATTACATATTATCATCTCCATAAATTAATCTACTGATAGTTGGTTGTTGGACTTAGTTGAACATGCGATGTTTATAAATCGAAAATATTTTATGAAAAATAGGTCTCATTGGTTATCAGATGGATGGTCGACCTCCCACGGGATCTTAGACTATAGTCTACGCATATTGAAATCGTGAAATCACCATTCTTACGTTGTTTTCAAAAGATATTTTTCAGTCCGACCCTGCTTGAGAATACGTGCGGATGACTTGCGAACTTCGGAACATATCTCTGACTTGTATCTATATCAGATATGACCTTGTCTCGTAGTCGGCATCTTCATACGAGAAATTACATAATATTACCTACATAAATTAATCTATTGATAGTTGGTTGTTGGACTTACTTGAACATGCATTGCCACATGCTCTCCGTCAAATTGATTGGAATTATTATTTTGTTCCTAAATGCATCAGTCTCCTCAGTATCTTGTGCCAATATCCTTATCACTGAAGATTTAGCCTCTCCGAGTCATCAAATATGGAACTATGCCATCGCCGATGCCTTAGTAGCCAGGGGCCATAATGTAACAGTTATTGGTCCTAAGACGATATCACTAGAAAATAAGAAGTTCCACTTCATCCACTTGGAAGGTATGAGTACACAGTATACTTCAAAACCATTACGAGAAAACTCGACCTTTGATAATATGTATAATAAACAACGTTGTTTATAAGTAGTCCGATTTTGAACTTCCCGCATCGGGATTGAAAGTACCAGTTTATTTCCTGAGTTTATGATCTGAAATTAGTTCTTGCTATTTTTCTGCACTATCACCCCCTCCAAATAGGGAATTAAGTGATTAATTCAATTCCTATATAGAGCTTATATAAGGCGAGGGAGTTATCACGTTTGGTGTATAGGCTCGAGGAAGTTCGGGAAAGGGAGAGGAAGTTTGAGGAGTTTGAAGAAGTTTTCAAAGTTTAGTGGACGTTCGTGGGAGTTCGAGAAAGTTCGAGGAACTGCGGAAAAGTTCTGGAAGTTCGAGGAAGTTCGAAGTATCTATAGTTTGTCAATGAGATCTTATTATCATGTCAATAATCTCAGGACATTATCAGGAAGGACCCCGCATATTTTTAAGGTAAATTGGGTCCCGTTGTATTTTTCTCAATTTTGTAGTTCATGTGGTTCTATAAAATATTTTCATCGAGCCGAGTTCCAAAAATGGACAGTTTTTTACTAGGGGGGGTTGATTTCACGTGTTGATCGAATCGACCATTTATTTCTGAGAAAATGTACTATATTCCGAAGCTTTTTATTCCATTTAATTACTTCTAAATATAGATTCTTTATAAAAAAAATATAATGGGGGAAATTTTTACCCACAAACCCTATTTTGGAAACCGAAAAAAAAAAGAATTTCATCTAACTATCAGAAGTGATAGGAAATGTTTCATCACGGACAATTATGGAAACCGCATTTTTGCATTATTATAAATTTGGTGGATTTCGCTGAATTTTTGATATGATGTAGTCCATATGATTCTGATCGGAAAATCAATGGGCGACAATCCTAAAAAATTGACAGTTTTTCTGCTATAGGGGGTTTCAATTAACATTTTGTAAAAAATAGACAACCATTTGATTCTGATTCGGAAGAAAACTATTTTTAATATTGTATTCCTATTCTTTAATGATTTTCCATTCGGAAATATTGGAAGGGTTGTCCCCCCCCAACCACCTTTAAAAAAATTCGCGTCACTGTTAGAAGCATATGAAAATGTTCAATCGCGAGAAATTATATGGAAGAAATTATATGGAAAAAGCTCTCTTGCATGATTGCCCCGAGCAAATGGGAGGAAGTAGGGTATTTAAATTTCGATCAAAATAGTCTATTCTAGATCTAGTCATGTTATCATCATCTAGTGACGCCAAAGAACCAATGTGAACGATTATTTCGACCAACACATTCAGAATCAAATGGTAGTCTATTCTTTAAAAAATGTGTAAATTGAAACCCCCTATAGCAGAAAAACTGTCCATATTTGTTAGGTAAGTCACCTGATGATTTTTTGATCAGAATCACCTAATGTTTTTTCATTTGCACCCCCTATTTGGTATGGGGAAATAAAGCAAAAATGCGGTTTCCATAATTATCCGTGATGAAACATTTCATATCACCTTTGACAGTTATATGGAATTATTTTTTTTTTTTCGGTTCTCAAAATAGGGGTTGGGGATAATAATTCCGCCCCATTTGATTTTATTATGAACAATCTATTTTTAGAAGTGATCAAATGGATGAAGAGTTCTGAAATATCGTCCATTTTCTCAGAAATAAATGGTCAATTCGATCAAAATGTGAATTCAAACCACTTTGGCAAAAAAATGTCCATTTTTGGGGGTTGACTCATTGAACATATTCCATAGAACTGCATGAACTATATCATATCAAAAATTGAGAAAAATCAACTGGGACCCAATTTACTTAAATTTGCGGGGTCCTTTTCACAAATTATTCTGTCGATTTCTTGTTATCAACATTCTTGACCTCGCATTTGAGAGTTTGACTGACTGACCAAAACGCAAAATAATCAGGATCCATCGTAGGTACATAATGATTTTTGCTGTGCGTCCTGTAAATATACGAATAATTATTATTATTAGTAAAAGAATGCTGAATTACATCATTCACAAATTCATGGTGCTCAAGCGGAAGCGTTATGGGTTGCGTGCAAGAACTGTCAGATGACCGACGCTGGAGGCAAAACATTGAAACACATTGTCAGTTTTCTTATTTGTTTACAAGTGATCGAAATAGTTCTCCACAATAATTATTTTGGCATATGAATCGTATTTTTCCGCTAGTCATCAATTCGCTCATGCCATCACATTGGGCTGTTGTAAAATGCACAAAAACTGCAGCGGAAGATGAAGGAATCCGGATGGTACATTATGATTTAGAAGTGAGTACCTACTATAGTAACTCAAATATAGTTTTCATTTTTGAAATTTGGTTATTTCCCTGATTTCATCGGAATTCCTTCTGCAATAAGAGCTAATAGAAATATACCTGATATTTCTAGAATAATGCAAGAAGATTGGATTCATCCAATCAATCGGGAGGACTGGTCTGACATGCTGACGATCGTGTGTTGTAGACATTTTCAATCTATTAGCAGTATTAGCTTGTATTGCAGAAATGGCAGAAGGCAGAAGGAATTTCAATAAGGAATGACAACATTTCATAATGATAACTATGTGAGATTACTATTTACCTGAAAAATCATATTCCCTAGTCTCTTGCTGCATTTTTTGTGCATTGTACAACAGCACAATGCGAAGGCATACTTGAATTAATGAATAACGCAAGAAACACGATTCGTATGCCAAAATATTGTGAAAAACTATTTCATCCTTTTGATTCCTCTGTAAACAAATGAAAAAGTGAGTTTGTGTTTCAATAATTCACAGAAGAGTGAGGTTGTGTTTCAATATTTTGCCTCCAGGGTCGGTCATCGTGCACAGCGCGACCTATAGCGTGTCTCTCTGACAGAAGGAGAATAATTGGGTTATCTGGTGTGCTGTCTCTGAAGACACCAGCATTTTTAGCAATTTCCTTTGGCCACTTGGAACCATAGGTACATGTTCTTCATTATAATATACTCGCATGGTACATGGTACATATTCGCACAATCCTCAAGAATATTTATATAGATAGAAAGCTAATTTTTGACGTTATTACTTCGAATAACCAATCACTCCATAAAATATAGGAGATGGTACAACTAGAAAAGCATCTTTCATTATCAAAACGATAATTCTAAAATCCTGAGGAATTTTAGGAAGTTCAGGAAAGTCTTGGGTAATTCAGGAAGCATGAGAAAATTTGAGAAGTTTGAGGAGATTTGGAAAGTTTGAGGAAATTTGGGAAGTTTGAGGAAGTTTGGGAATTTCGAGGAAGTTTGAGAAAGTTTGAGAAAGTTTGAGGACGTTCGGGGAATTCTGAAAAATTTGAGGGAGTTTGGGAAAATTCGAGGTAGTTTGAGGAAGTTTGAGAACGTTTGAAAAGATTTGCCCCTTGAGAAATTTGGTGTTCAAGTTTTTGGGCCGTGAATACGCGTCGGCCTAAGGTGACCTCTCTGTTCTCGAGTTATACTCCAACATTCGAGGATATCAAAAAACCAACCAAAACTTGTCATAATTCTGACAATGACAATTTACCAAACTCAAGTTCGAAAATGCGACAAATATGATGCATATTAATATTCTATTAGTTATTCTTTAGTTGCATGCATTCACAATAAGGAATAGTGAATACAATCGTATTTTCCTCGGTATTTTCCTATAATGGCAGATGATGCGATAACTGTATAGAATTATCTTTGCGTGGAAATATTCCTTTACGCGGAATAATTATTACATGTAAATTCTCAGCGTATCAATTATCATGTTGAGAATAAATAATAAACATGTCTACAAAAACGCTTCTAATCTAAAATACAGTTAGTGGTGTGAAACAATATCATATTTCATAATACATAATAGTAAAGTAGAAACCTCCGAGTCGTCTCCACAACGTTTAATCTCATAAAATCATAAAATCATGTTAATATCAAGTATTGTTTAACTTTCTTGATAAATATATTCATTTTTCATTGTATGACCTGTTGAATTAGCTAGTATTTTACAATGATGTTATGATTCTTTTCTGATTTTTATTGTAGAAAAAGACTTATTCAATAAAAGTTTGATTGATTGATTGATTGAATCATCAGCCGACATAAATTATTTTACAAAGAATGAGACAAACAGTAAAGAAGAAGAAGAAGATACAAATTGGTAGGGTATGGTTCGAATTGTTGAGTAAACATATTTGGAATTTTAAGCCAAATCACATTATTTGGTAACACAGATATTCTGAAAACTGTACCTGTAGACTGTGGTTGAGACGTTTTTGTGAATATTTGTTGTAGATTCTATTAATAAGATGGGGTGGGAAACCATCATTGTGACCAATTTGTTTTATAATGTTAAATTATTCTCCATTGAAGGATTCATAAGAATATTAAGAAGTCTGTGAAAGAGAGAATTGTCGGATGGCAGGAAGAATAATGGATTATTACTTTATCAGTGTGAGAGTTGGTTCATAAAAAAATCAAATTTGGCATTGTCTGTATTGATAAGGAAATCTAGGAATGAGAGAGCATTATTAACAGGATCCCATGGTGAAACTGATAGCCGGGAGTAAAGAATTCTAGAAGAATATTCATTTCATCTAATGTACGATCAAGGAGTATCAGACAGTCATCAACATACCTGAATCAAAAACAGAAATAGGTTGAAGTTATTATTGAGTATGAGTTCTAAATCATGAAGGAACATTTCGGATAATAAAGGGGAGATATTGTTTCCCATAGCTTAGGATAGTAATTCCTCTGAAGAATGAATAATTGTTGAATTGGAAAGAAATTGTTGCAAGCCCATATCCAGTAGTTCACATATATTTAGTGAATGAAAAGTGCGTGTATCAGCTTTAAACAAAAGATTACGAACTAACTTGACACAATAATCTTCTGTGGGAACACTGATGGGGAACAAGTTGACAACATCGAAAGAGGATTGAATTGTCAGGAATATTGATGTTTTTGATTCTGAAATCAGTTTTTTCGAAGAAAAAGAGGGTTATGGTATTTTGATTAATGATGAATGAGGAGCCAGAGGGCTAATTTTGTGAAGCTGGCGAATGATAATAGGAAACAACAGGTCTAAGTGAAACATATTTCTCATGAATTTTTTGTAAACCTCATAGCAGAGGGATAGAAGGATTCATAGGAGTTAATTTATACTTGGGGGAATTATAAAGATCAATAGTATAAATCTTGTAGAAGGATCACAATTCAATTCAGAAAACTTAACGGGCTGATAGGTTTTCAAATTGTTTCATAGCGAATTCATAGTGTTTCTGCACGCAATGTGTATATGTTCCTGCCAAAGAAATTCGCTATCAGTTGATTTTTCGTACTTGAATGAAATGTGTGTACCTATACCCAGTATAGATAAATCTATAATATCGAGTTTTTCCTTTTTAGCATATGAAATTGCTTCAAAATATGCAGCTGTCCATACCCTCAACAATCAATTGGAATTTTGTTTTGTCTACCATATCCCTCTTTACCTAGCAATAACTGAGTGCTACCCCTTGCGGATAAAGCATAAAAATAAAAATTGTGATGAGGAGGCAACAACGAAAATTTAATAATTATCGTTAATTCAATTGAGTACACACAGGTCCGCAAGATTCAGTGAATACCACAAACTTCAAAAGCACAAACCTCTACAAGTGCACAAACCTCTACAAGAGAGATGCACAAATTTTAGTATAATAAAATTAAGAATACTTCAATTGTAGCATTTTTTCTGGTTGTATGTAAAGACCTACGTATTGTTAACTTATTTCTGCGAAAGTATATTTTTTATGTATATATGTATTTATTACAGGACTCATTGAGGCGATTTCAGGCTCAGGCTTACTTCTTCCTGAGGCGCTGTCGCACCTCTCAGCATTGGGAAATTTCAAGCTGTACAATGCAGTATCTCTTCTGTCTTGCAATCATACCGTCCACACCAAAGGGCTGCAAAGGCTGCTCAATTATCCTGCAGATTTCAAATTCGATCTTATCATATTAGACCTCACGATATCGCCTTGCCTCCTACCTTTGATTGAAAGATTCAAAACACCTCCTGCTATCGTGATATCTGCATTGATACTACCACCATTCTTGTCGGAAATATTTGGAAATAGCTTTCCGGTATCATATGTACCGTATATTATGTTGAAGAACTCAGCCAAAATGGATTTTTTGGAGAGGTTACATAATTTTATATTCTCCAAAATTGATCTTTATTGGAAAGCTTATTACTTGTATCCTGTCATGGAACAGATGTCGAAAACAGTATTTGGAGAGAACATGCAGAGTTTGGATGCCCTGGGCAAGAAAGCAACGTTTCTTTTATGTAACTTGAGCCCAGGATTTCACTATTCACAACAGCTGACTCCTAATATCATTCCTGTGGGAGGACTGCACATCGATCCTAAGAAAAAACTTCCTCAGGTAAGAATTTCATTCTGCAAGCTCAATAAATACATTATGATACGATGAAAAATTATGTTATTCCAGAGGTGTGTCCAAGCTCTTTCTATCGAAACTCCACACCTGAAACAATAGCGCATCAGTTGTGCTTATTTTCATCTTTCTATACAAACTATCAAACTAAACATTCTACCTTGGAAACCAAAGTCCCTTCAAAGATCATAATTTAGGATGCTTAAGGTCGGTTGGATGATTCTCTTTGTTAACTCAACATGGAATCAAACCTTGTAACACTTCGATCAGTTGAGGCATCATGCTTTGTCATAATAATAATCCAATAAAGAGTTCAGCTATGCTCTGATACATGGAACAACTTTCGAAAAAATATAAAAAACGTGAAAATTGGAATCTTCATTTTAAAATTCATTGATGTACCTACATAATGTAATGTGAGTTAATGTTCATTTAATCCATCAACAACAAAATCTCACTCTTTGAGTCAAGATCTCGCTCGTTTTTGACAGCGTAGCTTTTGTCCAGTGGTCTCTGTTAGTCATCATTTTGTGATTTGGACGATTTGAACTTTGAATCCAAGAAGGACAAACGAAAAAGTTTCTTTGGTTTGTTTCAAATTGGCATTCGGAAGGATGAAAATAAAAAACGAATAGGCTTGTGGGCACAATATCCCTGTACGTTGTGAAAAAAAGGAAATATGTCTGGTTGCAGTTGATGGACTTAGCTGATATCTGAATAAGATGATGTAGAATTTTCATCAAATTCAATAAATGTCTTCATACTTGTGTGGACGGATTTCCTGTACCTACTGCAATGTGTCAGGTACCTACCTTTTTGCGTATAATCATATGATTATTGTTTTATTGTATTATGCGGAAGGACTCTGAATTTAACACCAGCATAGTGAGATATATTGAAGAAATGAATTTCTAACCTCACGGCTATCCATTGTAATTTTTAAGAACAATAGTAAGTACCTACTATGAGATTTTGAATTTTGACAATTGAGAATTTGGAAGACACCCGACTGAACTTTACGAATCGTTCTCAAAAACAAAAATCTGATTGACCTACATAACCTCTCACTCATATTTGAATCTGTCAAGATAAAATCAATCGAACAAACTCAACCGCATCTCCCCTAGTGAATTTTTATTCCAAAACACGACGAAGTTCAACCACTAACCCGAACGAATTTGTGCGGTCCGACCGTGGGCTGTCCGCAAATCGACCGCAGCCTATACCCATTTCGTTTCAGAGCCAATTCGAAGTAATTACCCGAATATTCTATGAATATTCTGACAACGCACAAATATACTTATTTCAGAATATTCCCATAGCATGTTCTCAGAATGATCATAAAATATTCTCATACTGCAGCGAATATTCTATGAACATTCAATTTGACATATTCTCAGAATATCCTTTTTGAACGTTCTGAGGACATTCTTTTTGAATATTCTGAGAATATTCAGAATCGTATCAAAATAGATGATATTGATGTTCCTATTCTTGTATCAATATTTATAATGTTTACTCTGACATAACCTATTATTCTCTGGCCTCAATGCTGATTATCCCACTATTTCAATGTTGTCATATTGCTATTCATTTTATTCATCAATAAGGTTCGTGGCTAAGTGGTTGAGGTTTCAGGTTCGTAAAAATTTGATCATAAGATAGTAGGTTCGCATCTCCACCAGCGCAAGCTTCTTTTAATTCTCTTCATTCTCCTTCAATATACTAGGAATTTTCTCAGAATATTTAAAACAGTCCATTCCGAAACATTCCTGGAATATTTGTATCAGAATATTCTGAGAATATTCAAATATTCTCGAAGAATATACTAATATATAATAATCATTATTTCATCAAATCTACAAAATGTACGTCGTTGAGTTGGATCAACATCGACATTATTTTTGGAACAGAATAATCTGTTCTTGTGATGACCATGAAAACTTCTCCTAGAAATTACCGAAAAACCAAAAAGTAGCCCAAAGTTTAGGAAACATTCCCGTCAGAACTATACACTTGTCCGATCTGGACGTTGTTTGTTTTTGTTGACAGATTATTATTTCTTTTTGAACATTTGTGCAATCTGTATTCGCATAGAAACCTCCTTTTTATACATTGCCGGGTGTAGCAATTACAGCGTGTTTTTTTCACAGAATTTGTAATACCCTGGAGAGTGTAATAATTACACAATCGAGTTAGAATTTGAATAACACCTTAGCCTTTTCTTTTGTCGACATTTATTATTTGAATTCACTCCATTATCTTTCCTATAACTCGAGAAGCACCAATTGATACCTTAACATGATTTTATGGAAAATTAATATCCAAATTAAATGACGAGAATACGGAACAGAATGCGAAGTCACAAGTTAAACAAAAGGGTCAGTAGCGAGTATTTCAGCCGCGGAAACTAAAAGCTGCTTGGCACGGATGACCTATACCCGAAAATAAGAGACCTAATGTCATGTTGGTATTCAAGCTACGTTTCTCTAGTGATCTCGTCTCAAGAATGTCCCAGAGGTTCTCAATGGGATTTAAATCCGGGCTCCGAGCTGGCTATGCGATACAGACTTCCTCTAGATAATTTCTCACACTAATAGTGTGTTAATTCAACAGGCCCGCAAAAATAATTCAAGCACAAATAATTTTTTATTGATTCAACAAATCCTTTTTTGTGGTGGTATATTCATTATTCCAGATTTTATGGGATTTTCACTTCTCGTTTCTATCAGTATTATTTCAATATACGGTGAGGAAAAATCAGACAAATCAAAATGTCAGTTTGTTTAAAAATTTTCATCAATCAGAGAATGAAAGAAAAATTCATTCTCTTGTCAATGACAGTGTGAGTTTATTTAGAGGAATATACTTAGGTGTATATAAAGAAAATGTAACATTTTCTCTTATCTTTGGAAGTTCCGGAAACGAATCTGGTCCTGTTTTAAACATAAAAAATGGAAAATATTCTATTCACAAATCAAACATGAAAACAGCAAATAAAAGAAACATCCTGTAACTCATTTGTTTGTCAACCTCACCATTTGTCACTGAGAAGTGTCAACACTGATCGCTTCTGGATATAAATAGATAGCCAAACTAAACAAATTTTGAATATAAAATGATAAAACTGCGTTGATAACTACAGGGTGGGCCTCTTCAAATTGAACCCCCTCTTAATTATTTTTTTCAAGAGATATGAAAAAATTTTCAAAGAAGAAGTTGTTTGAAATGACCCAAAATTTTTTGTGTGCAGTTGTTCCATTTACAGGGGCATTAGTTTTTGATATTCTGATAGAATTGATCGATACACTCTCAATACTCAATTTTCTACATTTTCTCAATTTGGATATCTACATAAGCGTGCTTTATTCATGTTTTTTGAGTACCATTTATTTATCGCTCCAATTGCGAAAACATCCAGTTTATATATGGATATAGGTACCTCCCCTGTTGTGAATCCATTTTGGATTACTGAAATCTGGGTCATTTTCCGTACCTTCTGGCCGAATATATAATTTTGCTCTGAATCTTTGTATTATTGTGGTAGTGTATTATACCAACCAACTGGTCATCAATTTCTAAAGTAATGCTTATTCTAGAGCACGTGTTCTACAGATGTCTTATGCCTAACTCCATACTCACACTATAGAATCAATTATAGGAATATGATGATTACAAAATATGTCTTTCAGGATTTCCAAGATATAATGGACACTGCAAAAGACGGGGTAATATTATTCTCCTTAGGAACTAACGTGAAATCCAATGAAATGAGCCTAGAAAAGAAGAACAGCATTCTGAAGGCTTTCAGTAAAATGAAAGAAACAGTCTTATGGAAATTCGAATCTGATTTAACAAATCTTCCCAAAAACGTGATTATCAGGAAATGGATACCACAGAATGAAATTCTCGGTAAGTAGGTGATATTCGAATTGTATAGCTGAGTAAACCAGCTGGTCAAAAAACCGCACTAACTCGTCATTTTCCACGATATCAGTTTTCTCGATATCTCCGAATGGGTACTGAAAAGGTAAAGTTCGGAATGAAATAGACACTCATTTCCTACAGCTCAAAACTTGAAATGAATTCAAAGCATCTTCAGGAGAAAAGAAGATGCGAACATACAGTAAGGTATCGAAACACTTGTCGAGGCGTTAAAAATCAGCTTGTTAGTGGTGAAACCAAGTGTAGTGAGATTATCGTGCCAAAGGTTCCAATCTTCGATATGCTATTGTTTCTTCCGCATATGTCTCCATAAAACAGCATAATAGGTAGGTATTCCACTAAGCTTTGGAAGCTATGTTGATGCAAGGTTGTAACAATTACTGAAATGGACGTTCAGCAATATGGCAAATGTAAATTTGTGAATGTAACGTTCCAGCAATGTCACAGTAACATGTCATATTGCTGCAACGCTACATTGTCAAACGTCACCTTTGCAATATTGCTGAACGTCCGTTTCAGTATTCAATATTGCATCAACATTTCTTTCAACTTTGCTTAGTGGGATACCTAATATACGGCTGACAACTCGGTGTCCTACGTGAGCGAACTCCATGCCATCGAACATCAACTTTCAGACATGTCTATGCGAAGCGATCGACGCTTCGCTATGGGACGCGACGGTACGCGATTTTGAGGCGATATCGAGCGAAGCGTCCAACGTACTTTGGCGCCATCTTTTTTCCTTCATGGCAGATCGTATGAGGGCCATTCTCAACCATACATCACATGTCCCACACATACTAAGTTATCACAGTTGGAGTGATAGTAGATAACAACTACGCAAAATTATTATTGAACTTCGATAAATATTGATAGGTCATTGAGAAATTCAGTTTTTTTTTTCTAATGCTCATCCTCTAAAGAAAGGTGAGATATCACTTCCGTACAATGTCTCCTCCGTCGAAAATAGAAATATGTCGAATGATTACAGCAGGAATATAACCAGTGAATAATTGTAAATGGAAGCAATGTGATGTTTTATTCTTCCCCCATGAAAGTTTATTCCAAATATAATATAAGATATTGTCACTCGCAATAGTCCTCACCTCCATTACTTCATCATTAAGATAATATTGAAAATAGTGTGAACATGCTCCACCATCTACCGATTTATGATAAGTAATGGAAATTCAGTATGGCGGGTGAGTGAGTATCCAAAACACCTGTGAATATTGATGTGTTTTTTTCATTCCATGAAAGAGGTAAGATAACATATTTGTTCAAGATTCAAGTTCCTCAACTCCGTTTGTATACATCGTATGATAAGAATAATTTATTTATTTTGCTAATTGATACACATATATTTGTTTATGATAGCAGGATACCTGGGTTTCAGAACCTTAAAACGTTTTCCTGATGTGTAGAGAAAAATATAAAAAAATGCACCTCCGTGAACCTCACTTCCGTGAATATCTTTGTAATGGAGGTGAAATATTGGAACATTATCGATGTAATGTTGACAGGTACTTCGCCCAGTATAACACCAGCTAAAGAAATCAGTAGAAGCATCGAAAGAAAAAAGGAAAATAGTCAGAGAAAGCATGAGAAGACTACAAGAAACTATTAAGAATGAGAATATTGACCTACCGTAATCTTGGGCCACCCCGAAGTAACTTGGCCTGATTTTTGTTTCGGTTCATACTTTCTACTGTTTTTTTCGAATTGGATTTTCTGGTCACTATCGTTTATTTCTGGTGAATAGTGACTGAAAATAGGGAGAAACTACTAGAGAGCACCCAGAGCGAAGCCCTACCAAGACTATTTGAAACAAAACATTCAAAAAGCCGTGTTGGGAAGGGGATGTCGAATAAATTATCTGCGCAAAAGTAACAGGTAACAGGTCATAAAATTCTTGGCAACAATTCTGTAGCAAAAGACAGCCCAAGATTCCTTTATTCCCAGGAAGAACGCAGTATATCTTACACCCTTGGGGTAGTGGCTAATTGGGGTTTCCCGTTAACGAGGTTGGATGTCAGGACGGTCATCGCAAAATACTTTTACGATTGAGAAAAAACAGTTGAGATCTTCAAAAGCAACATTTCAAGGAAAGATTTCATGGATGCATTCATCCAGAGAAACAGGCTGTCCATTCGCATGGCATTGAGCATAGGTCCAGATCATCCGTCGACCGTGATGACATTTTAAATTTTTTCACCTGTAATAATGAAGCTCTGAACGATGCAGATGATTTCAATCTGGAAATGTATATGGAGACTGGACAGAAGCCGGCCCTCCTGGAACGAAGTATACCAGCAGCTTCTCTGGTGGCATTTACTGTGACGATTCAGAGCCAGAGCCATGGGAATATCGAGACGAATAATCGTCATATAATAATAAGAAGCCGAGAAAGTTTTTCTGCCCATTGAATGAGTTGAAAGTTATGAGTCGGGAGTTGAAAGCTATAGAGCTTGAATTGCGAGTTAGAAATAAGAATTTACCGTTTCATTCTTGAACATTTTTTGACATCATTCTTCAATAAAATTCTAATTTATGGGCTATTTATAAAATTTTCGAACAAATATAAGTAGCTATGGGGTCGTTTGATTTTTTTCTGAGTGAATCTGGGGTAACTTGGACATGCAAACCATTGAAAACGTTCATTTCATTGAAATTCTCAGAGGTGACCATGTTGCCCCAAACCCTCGCCCAAACCCCTTTTCAATTTGGAACAAGAATTCATTGTTATTGTCAGATTGTCCAGATGCTTCAAAATATAAAAGAGATATTTTGGCAAAGGTCTGAGAAGAGTGACTAAGTTGCCCCGTTTCAAGGTATCCTGAATATACAGGGTGATTCAAAATTTGATGCAAAAAATAATTCAAGGCCGTATTGTTGGGATCAAAATATTGTGAGATATACACATTATCAAGTACCATTAGAGGAACACATTCATAGAATGAAACTCTCATCTACGTGTATTTTGAAAAAGTTATAACTCTTCTTCGAATTTCTGAAAGAGGGAGCCTGTGAAGATAATTCTTGTCCGACAAATTATTGTGAGATAAACACATTATCAAGTACCATCAGAGGAACCTATTCGTGTAATAAAACTCCCATCCACGTGTATTTTGTAAAAGTTACAATTTTTTTTCGGAATTCGAAAAAGGGGGGCCTGTGGACTTAACTCTTGCCCGACAAAATATTGTGAGATATACACATTATCAAGGACAATTAGAGGTACACATTCATTGAAAAAAGCTCCCATCCACGTGTATTTTGAAAAAGTTATAATTTTTTTCTCGAAATTCCCAAAAGAGGGGACCTGTGAAGTAAATTGTTGTCCGACAAATTATTGTGAAATATACAGATTATTAAGGACCCTCAGAGGAATACATTGATGGAGAATAGTTCCATCCACGAATATATTGTAGAGGTTTCAGTAATTTCATGGCCAGCCATGGATATAAATTAATAATAAACGACCATTGGTGGAATGGGATCATTTGTTAGTAGTCAATTACAGCAATGATTTTTTTCCCGTTTGGATTTCCGTTTAAAAAAAGGGCTCATAGACTGCGTTGTTGGTAGTCTGTTCGAACGAAAATGACGCAAAACCAAAGATTGTGGCTGTAAAATGTTCGTTTTTGCTGGGCATTTTGCGAAATAGTTAAAAAAATAACCACGCCAACTTAAATTCGTGGTGGTTACTTCTTATATAATTTCAAGCACTCTTCTAAAGCTGAAGAATTCTCACGAGTGGGATTTCTCAATAGTAACAAAGATTTGTGCATCTAGTTAATATTATCAAAAAAATACCACCATATGTGTAATTACTGTTGATAATTAAACATCGGAAATTGGAACACGAGATGTCATATTTTCATGAGTTCGTTGTTTTTTAACTCATGGACATGCAACGAGAAAGTTCCACTCATCTCTATAAAAAATAATTTACTTACTATTTATATCATATGAAAAATGGTGATCAAACGATCAAATCTTCCACAGCCAAGGGACCCAGTTAATGTTCCTGGTGAAATTGCTATCTTCAGGATACATTTCATGAGAGTGAATCGAAAAATTATTATTTCAATTCATTATTGAAATCAAATCAATTGAGAAATAAATCCGAAATACAAACCAACCCTCATAGCCGAGCAAACACAATTAATGGTTATGATTAGTTATAGCAACTAGCACCTATTAGTTATTTTTCTCTAAAACAGGACCGACATGAAAGAACAACATAAAAGCAAAAATAATTTATTGTTTTTCAAGAAGTACTTTTTTCATCAGCAAATACCTTAATCTAACTTCCGTTGAATCATTCAATTTATTTGTCTCATGATAGAGCCTTACATTCGAAATGATCGAAATATATCCTAGCTTGGTAGAAAATGTCATCTATTCCAATAAGTTTCAGTATATTTTCAGCAAGTCTGCATCTATAAGAGACTCGGAGATATTTCTCAAATCGCCATTAGACACTGAATGTCGCAGACAACTAATATAATCGTGATTTATTGGATATTTATTGCTTTTATCTCTATTTGGGAAACGATATCGAAATTTCGTATGATACGACACTGGCTGCTTACCTATGGAATGACGTGCTTTGATAACTTGGTTCAAATTGTCTTTCACACATCTCACAACGTATCACCATTTTGAAAAGTCACAAAAGCCACACAAAACAGAACATAACTTCAGAAAATAAGAAGAATCCTCGGAAAAATTCTTCCAATCGAAACGTAAACAATACAATAGTATATTGTGCAACAAGTGAGAAAAGTGCTTTTCCCCACATGTTGCACACTATACTTTTTCTACAACTGCACTTATTCAAAGAATCCGAGTAATGTAGCTCATTGGTATTCATTTTATAATGTGGCACTATGCCACATTGAATATTGTGGCCAAAGAGTAGACGCCTTTCCTAGTTCCTCAAAGTATTCCAAAAACGTACACTTTCCGAAAAAGATTTTATTTCTGTATTTTTTAAGATTCCATAAATTTTTTTGTTTATGCCAAGTTGAATTCAACGCCACCAAAACTCAAGCTTGCATTTTTTCTAGAAAGGCGGAACTCAGTATGCATCAGCAACACTCTTTCGTGAGATAATCATGTCAGATCCATCGCAAAAGCTGCTTCACAAAAACTCGGATTCTTGTTTCGTGCGAAAAGCTACTTTACACCTCAACAGCTTCTCATGATCTACAAAGCGCAGATACGGCCTATTCTAGAATACTGTTCCCACATATGGGGTTCAGCACCAAAACATACGCTGATGCTCTTAGATTCCATCCAGAGAAGAGCCATTCGCCTGGTGGGTGACGCCACACTCACTCACTCTTTGACATCATTGAAACACCGTAGAAAGGTCGGCGACCTTTCACTTTTCTATCGATACTTCCACGGGAAATCTCTGCTATCATCTCTTCACTAGCAATACCAGTCAGACAAACTAGACAAGCCCAGTCAGCACATCCTTTCGTTGTCAACCTCGAAAGATGTCGAACAGCACTTTATCAAGACTCCTTCATCCATAGAACGGCTAGGCTCTGGAATTCATTGCCTGTGGAAGTATTCCAAACAACATATAATCTCCAAAAGTTCAAAAAAAAATTCCAATACCTACCTCCTGTCCCTATCCTCCCTAGGAACGCACGATGTTCTATGAACATTATAGGGATTCCCTTTCGTGCGCTCCAAGCAAGAGATTGAGATTTCCGGTAACAAATCCAACTTTCGCAGCTTCTTCCATTATCTCTGTCTCTGGCGGTGTATTTATCAAAATCGTCACATCTCGGTATATATACATCATATTATTTATTATGAATTGTTGGACTAATATTTGATGGAAAATGCGATTTCTATCGAAAGCTCTAATGGTACTACCCTGAAGAATTTAAAAAACTTCTTTTGACAGTTGTGACAACTATTCAAAGCTGAACAGCAGCCCGATTTTGGTCGATTTTTGATGATTCTCCATGGAAATGTATGTGGTGGAATAGTTGTCACAACTGTCAGAAGAAGTTTTTTAAATTCTACAGGGTGGTTCTCATGAGTGCTTTTGATAGAAATCACAGTTTCCATCAAATATTATACCAACAATTCATAATTAATAATATGATGTACATACCGAGATGTGACGATTTTGATAAATACACCGTCAGAGTCAAAGATAATGGAAAAAGCTGCGAAAATTGGATTTGTTTCCGGAAATTTCAAGGAAAAAGTATGAATCGGCATATACGAAGAATTTGTGGAATCTAAAAAATTACAGAAATAAAATCTTTTTCGGAAAGTATACTTTTTTGAAATACTTTGAGGAACTAGGAAAGACGTCTACTCTCTGGTCACAATATTCAATATGGCATAGTGCCACATTATAAAATGAATACCAATAAGTAACATTATTTGAATTCTTTGGATGAGTGCAGTTGTAGAAAAAGTATAGTGTGCAACATGTGGGGGAAAGTACTTTTCTCACTCGTGTGTTTGCATCACTCGCCCTTCAGTCCCGTGCCACAAACTTTCACACTCGTGAAAAGAGTTGAACTTTCCCCACTTGTTGCACAATATACTATTTCGCTATCGACTGTGCAATATCAAGAAGCAGTGTTGCAACATTGGCCAAAGATTATGGAAAATTCCCATATGATCACTATGGATTGATTCTTCAGAATTGTTATTATATCCAGAGATTATACATTCTGTTATATCTAATGCAACTAGCAAATAAATGCATGTGTTGAACTAGATTCATAAACAGTTATGAGAAATTGAGACTGCGGGACATTGATCACTTTCAATTTAGGCGGCATGAAAACACTGGCGTTGATTGAGAACTAATATAATGGTTGTTGTGCGAATTCATGTTAGCATCAGAGTATTTGTTATGTTATCCTCCTAGGGGGTTTGTTGTTCGGGAGTTAATATACTATATTTCATTTTTCAGCTCATCCAAATTTGAAATTATTCATTACCCACGGAGGTGGTTTGAGTACAATTGAGGCGGCATATTATGGAGTTCCTATGGTGGGTATCCCATTTTTCGCAGATCAATATTTCAATATGGAACTGGTGGAAACTAGGGAAATAGGAATTACGATGTCGTATGATACTTTGACAACAGAGAGTTTAGTGGAAGCAGTCAACAAAGTTTTGACGAACCCATCGAAGTATGTATTATTAATTTTCTACATATTATATTTCAGTTCATATTTCCCGTTCTGATATTATTAAGGGTTTCCTAAGAAGCATGATTAGAAAATTACTACTATACTGTGAGTTTCAAAAAAGGTAGCCCTAATGCTAGGGTAGGTAGAACACTGAAAAATGAGTTGGGTTTGCTCAGTATGAACATTTTCGTATAAGGGCGTCCGAAACGCATATTCCGAAAACGGTACGCAGTAATGAGGTTCACCAAGAGTATAGTTTATGCAAAGTCAGTTGGAAAAACACATCACCGCAAGCCGTCGGTCTGTTGAAAGTTCAAAGAGTGCGGCAGCGCGGCCCGACATTCGTTTGATGATCTGTTCAACTGACTTTGCATAAACTTTACCTCTTTAGCAATTTTCAAGTTCGTATAAAATTTGGACTAGGAACGTTTACCCCAAAAAAGTAATGTTTAAAACTAATACTTGGTACGAATCGTGTTATGTGTGAGAGTCAGATATACATTCATGCGATGTTTCAGCAGGTATCAGCTTCCGAAACATATTCATACAACATTTCAATCACAATTACAATGCTACAATGGCACCAGTATTTCTGACATTATCGTGAATAACTATTGTAAATATAAAAGTGGTCCGATCGAATTCATTTTTTTTGAAAAAAAAAAACTATATCGGAAGAGACGAAGCCTATTGAAATTGAGCAGGGTCGGAAAATTCCAAGTGGGTTTTTCAAGGAGATTTTCCGAAACACACGGTTCGCTTTGAAACGACATATCTCCTGAACCAATAGACTAAATCCAAATTTGAAAAATGCACCGTATGCCTCTTTGATGACGCAACAAATAATTATATTATCATTTTTTCGTGCATCCATCGGAAAATGGAAAAACAAATAAAAATCAAAACATCAATATTGGTCTTTTCATTTCAATATACAGGGTGATTCAAAAGTAAGCGGCATCCTTTCAGAGGCGTATTCCTTGCTTGAAAATAAGGCAAAAAGTTCCTATTGATAAGGATCCGAAAATGCTTCCTAAGGGAGCTACGGCCCTTTGAATAGGACACCTCAAAGACGGTTTTTTCTCTATAACTTTAAAATCCTTCACAACAAATTTTTAAAAATAGGACTCCGTATTCGAAATTTCAGAATTTCATTCAGGGGCGTCACATGCGGGAGAGGGTAAGTGTAAAAATATCCCTTCTTCTCCGGATATTCAGGTTACTGTGATTTCGTTTGGAAATTATTTCGAATACGGAGTCCTATTTACCATCGAATGTTTATGCCGTACACCAATTTTTAAAAATTTGTTGTGAAGGATTTTAAAGTTATAGAGAAAAAACCGTCTTTGAGGTGTCCTATTCAAAGGGCCGTAGCTCCCTTAGGAAGCATTTTCGGATCCTTATCAATAGGAACTTTTTGCCTTATTTTCATGCAAGGAATACGCCTCTGAAAGGATGCCGCTTACTTTTGAATCACCCTGTATATTGAAAACAAAAAATGGAAAAATCGAAAATTATCAGAAGTGCAAAGTTATCCACTGGAACATTTCCTACAAATTATTTTCCACAATTTCTCCTGTAAACCCAATAGTACAGGAATTAGATTAAAAAATATTAAAAAAAATTTGACCGACCCATAGGGTACCATGAAGATATATTGAAAAACGAAGATTATCGATAGATGAAGCTGATCGACTTCCACTGAACCATGAAATTTTTTTTCCTTTTGTTGATTGGAAGATGGAACAAGAGTGTTGAAAATTGTATTCTCAGATAATTCCAAATATCTCGAAAACAACTGGGAATATCTGACAATGTTATGAAACCAAAATTATTCCTTTTGATAGAATATACAAAAAATCCGTATAACATTTTTCTCTGAATTCAATAGTTCGGGAGATACGATGAAAAAACTAAAAAAGTTCCTAGATAATCACTCGCCAATAGAAAACCAAACAAAAAACAAGAGAGAGTAAAAAGAGCGCACTCGACTGTCTTGAATTTTTTTCCATAAACTACGTACCTAGGTCACTAGACTGTCTTTATTTTTCGCCAAAAAACTACGTACCTAGCTCACTCGACTGTCTTGATTCTTTTCCACAAACCACGTACCTAGCTCACTCAACTACCTTGATTTTTTCCCACAAACTACGTACATAGCTCACTCGACTGTCTTGATTTTTTTCCACAAACTACGTACCTAGCTCACTCGACTGTCTTGATTTTTTCCCACAAACTACGTACCTAGCTCACTCGACTGTCTTGATTTCCCACAAAGAAGAAATATGCTGGCATTGTTTTAACTTTCTTTTGTTTTTGTTTTTTTAGTCCCTATTGGGAGTCGAGTGGGCTAGGTACCTATGTAGTTTGTGTGGAAAAACCAAGACAGTCGAGTGGGCTAAGTACGTACGGGAAAAATCTCCAGTTCTCTGAACTTTCATAGCGTCGTATACACATCTTGCCCAATGTGCCCAATGATAGTGTCAATATAAAAATATGCTCATGATATGGTGCCATGGCCTCTACTTCGATCTTACATGAGCAATGATAAAATATCATTTGCTTTTATAGCGTCGTATAAATTATCTGACCTCTATACTAATCTAATACCTAATGAAAACTACATCTATACTAATCTGATACCTTTCAGAACCTACATACTTCACTTGTTTTACTGTGTTCGATACATCAATGCGGTAGTTTGTATGTCATCAATTTTATTTCCGTATCTGATATCACAATGACTCCATTGTGTTATTTAGAATTGACAGGAAATCAGATGGCTACAAGACGAAGAAATCGAAAATGCCGCTGTTATCTATTATAGCCGTAGAAAAATTATAGTGTATAACTTGCACGGAATGTCAAAAAAGTCAAAATAATTCACAGAATGAACATGAAATATTACTTTATGAGAAATTCATTTTCAACAGAGTTCGAAAATTACTTCCAACATAAATTCTTGAACATGTTCCACGTTGCTGCTGATCAGAAACGTTAGATACCTATTTCTTAAAGAGTTGATATTCCACAATTTTTTCAGATATTATAGTTTGTTTGGAAGAAGATGGACTATTCAATATTTTGTTAAAAATCTGATGAATTTTGTAAATTCATATTCACAGTTGTACAAAAATGTTTGTATTTCGTGTATAGAATTCCAGAGAATTAGCACTCTCGTGTGCCACTGAAAAAACACTCATTTTATGCACTTGACACTAAAATAAAAAATACCTCTATACCATATGTAGGTATCTTGAATATGGATGCCCTTACGACAGTTTTTCACTGAGCGAACCCAACTTATTTTGCAGTGTACATACATAAATGAAAAAATGAAGTAGGCGTTGAAACTTCTCGAAATGTCACATTCTGAGCCAGAATTGTCTCAGAAATCCCAAAATATCACAATATTCAAAAATTCGAAACCGGAGCCATTTCCCGTGCAACCGGAAGTTACCGATAAAATAAAAATATGTAATGTGAAAATTCTCCGCTACATATACAATTTACCAATAGCTAATCTTATTTTGATACACCTGCTATTGTAGAGCATATAACTTATCTAATAGATTGACCACCGTATAAGTACTAACATCAAGTCCATTGTTCAAATTTGTCGAAAGATTTCAAATTTATTAGAATTTTCGTTCGGATTACTGGAAATTAAAATGTAATCCTACCTTAACTTTTTCGTTTTCAGTTATGAAAAAATGTTGAATTGAAAAGTTGTGTGAAATGACCAAACTTTTATTTCGTGAAGTTGTTTCATGCACAGGGTCATTCGTTTTTCCAGAAAGGATATCAACTTTGATTTTCCCGATGGAACACCCTATACAATTCACAACATGTCGATAGAGCCTTTCTTTCTGATTTCAAAAATATATATGAGTTGCATATTTGGATGAAGAATAGTTGAGTTACTGATGATCAAAATTTACCAAAATATCGCATTATGAACCTTCACTTCATAAGTTAAATATAGTGGGCTTTGAAATAACGTTTATATATTGTTCAAGCTCATGGTTTTGTTTATTATGGAATTTAAATCGTTCAATCTCAATACAAAAAATTATGAATAAACAGTTTGAATGGAAGATTCGGTATTTTGGTACACTTTGATAATCAGTAACTCAATTATTTTCCATCCAAATATGCAACTCATATATATTTTTTAAATCAGTAATTGTTGAACAAATCATAGTAAATGTCCTTTCCGGAAAACGAATGACCCTGTATATGAAGCAACTTCACGAAATAAAAGTTTGGGTCGTTTCATAAAACTGTACAGTGCATCCCATTTTGGGTGAGACTGCCAGGTATCTCGGTTGTTGTTGAAGATAGGACCTTGCGGTCTTTGCCATCTATGAAACTCAAAATGACAGGATGAGATTTTGCATAACTGTTTCGGTTTATGAAATACAGGGCGATTTTGAGAGTTCATACTTTTTGGAACTTTTCTACGAAGTTTCTCAGTGAAAATGTCAAATTAAAATCTTATCCCATAGAGAGTTTTACGCCGAATCCAAATTTATGATTTTCAAATGGAACATTCTTTATTTTATTAGCTCATTACAATTCTTTTCTTTTTCTACAAAATGATACATATAATGTATGAATATGACATTTTCAAAAATGCTCCAAAATCACGAAAAATTTAATTTTAATAGTGGGCTATGGAATTTTTCATATAAAAAAGTTCCAATTGAAGTAATATTTCCTTAGATTTTACAATACCAACACTGATCCACTAACAAAACACAAAACTCAAGTATACCTATACCTGATAGCAACAAATAAATAGTAATGAAAAATTCATAATTTAGAATAAGCACCTGATATATTGATGACATAATACACAAATACAATATGACAAAAGTGTCAAATTGATTTTTGTTCAGAATCGAATACTAATTGCCCATGGCATACTACACTTTAATAACACATTCATTTGGATCGAGACTCGAGAGATAGATCTTGGGAGCAAACGTTCATTTCTTCTCATGTGTGTTTAATGAACTCCGCTGTCGGGCTGTCTGGCATCAAACTCCACACGAGGGAGGAAATGATGGTTACCTTTGCTAACTTGATATATGAATAGCTACCTTCCTATGCTTACTATATAGGGTGTTATTTAAGTACGTGGCCAAACTTGAAGGGGTGATTCTTTGAGTTATTCTACGACGAAAAGTTCATATAAACATAGGTCCGGTAATGCTTCGTTTTCAAGATACAGGGTGTCAAAATTTTTAAAAGAAATCGTTTTTTTCGTAAATATCTTAATAACCCTTCAACCGATTTTATTGAAATTTGGCAGTGTTATTCAAGGTCGTAAAGGGCTAATTCAACCCTAACTGTATCAAAATTATCATGTCCAGTGGCGTCCCGGAAGGCACTGTTACCAATATTTTTGACAGAAAAAATGTGCGCCACTGATTTTTTTGCAATTTTTGTATTTGTTTCACATTGAGCAACTGAAATTACAACTTTTTTATATCCAGAATTTATTTCGTATCTTGCTTTGTTTTTGAGAGAAAACATAAAAATCGCACTTCATTGCACATCCCTGTGACGAGCCGAAGCCAAGAGCCGAAGGCAAGTGCTGCAATTCATACATACATATTTTTTGTTTTTTCATCGCATTTATTTTGATAGAAAATTCCAAGAAAAGAATAGAGTATTAATATGAAAAAATATTAGTAAGACCCCAGTTTTTGATGGTTAAGTAGTTGAAATGTTTTATTGTGTTGTCACAGGGATGTGCAATGAAGTGATTTTTATGTTTTTTCTCAAAAACAAAGCAAGATACGAAAAAAATTCTAGATATAAAAGAGTTGTAATTTGAGTTGCTCAATTTGAAACAGATACAAAAATTGCAAAAAAATCAGTGGCGCACATTTTTTCTGTCAAAAATATGGTAACAGTGCCTTCCGGGACGCCACTGGACATGATAATTTTGATATAGTTGGGGTTAAATTAGCCCTTCACGACCTTGAATAACACTGCTAAATTTCAATAAAATCGGTTGAAGGGTAATTAAGATATTTACGAAAACAACGATTTCTTTTACAAATTTTGACACCCTGTATCTTGAAAACGAAGCATTACCGGACCTATGTTTATATGAACTTTTCGTCTTAGAATCACTCAAAAAATCACCCCTTCAAGTTTGGCCACATACTTAAATAACACCCTGTATATTATATCTCTGGATTGGGAAAAGTTCTTTGAGAAATAAAATTTGAATTGTTTTAGGTATCTCAAGAATGCGAGAAGAATATCTTCATTGATGAGGGATCAACCACAAACTTCAATGGAACGAGCATTATTTTGGATCGAATTCGCGATACGGAATAATGGCACCAACATTTATGATCCTCAGTCAAGGCACATATCGGGTTTAATTTCGTCTTCATTTGACATTTACCTATTTCTTTTATTGATTCTTTGCGCATTTTCGTACTCTGTATTAAAAGTAGTGTCGGTCTTCTGTAGACCTGTGAATCGGAAGCAGAATAAAATTAAAAAGAACTGATATTATGAGTCTTAGTTAGATGTACATACATACACTGAACCGTTAAATAATCGAGCCTGTTAGCATCTAGCAACTAGATGCGCCACTGCTCAGTGGAATGTGCTTAGATCAGAGCCTATGACAGACGTGTGTAAATACTGGTTCATATAGTATTCGGCGGATGGAAGCCGGGTTGTGATCAAGTGTAACCCTTATTGTCCATGTCATTTGTGCTCGTGTTTATTAAATTGTGATCATAATATAACATCAGAAGTGGTTGAATTCATGCCCCGGTGAAGTGACAAAATGCAATTATTTTTCCGGCGATTTTCACTGCGAAACAGATAGCTGTGGTTGAGGTATTTAGGTATTTATGCGTGATGCATTTCCGGCGTTATGCCGTTATGTGATGTTTTATTGAACTGTAAGTACATGACTTCTTTAAAATAAGCAATACCAATGTACCAACAGTACGAAGGTCCAGTAATAGAGAATTTCGTGTTCGATCCTGAAATCCAGTATTTTTTTTTTTTTTTTTTTTTGCTACTTGTTTGTCTCGAAAACTCTGATAACGTTGACATTCCGATCAAATATCAGATGCTTATTGGTATTGGAATGTACTGAACGTTTGTTGTTACCGTTTTCGATTGTACTGGCGATTACACGATATATAGGTATTTTGGAATTTCGTTCGATGAATTTGCAATTTCAGTTTGTGATGATAGTTATGATGTATGTAACATGATTTTTGAATGAATATCTCTGGATATTCGAGAATGCAGGTAATGTTCGTTGTTCATGATTCATTCGTGCCCGAGTTGTGTTTCATTTCAACAAAAGGTGAACAGTAGATTGGATACTGTGAGATTCGAAGAAGTTTGGAGGAGATTTGTAATGATCCTCAAAATTTGCAATATTTACGTGAGATTTGCATGATTCATCAACAAATGAGAGATTTCTGGTGATTTTCAATATACATGAGACTGTCAAAGATTTCCAAGGTTCATCAAAATTGCACGGATAGATGGGACGAATCTGAAATTTTAACAATATCGAATTCAAAGAATAAGTCAGATCTCACGTAAGCTACAACTCCATCATTTTGATCCAATTTGCCCATATTATATATAATGTTGTAACCTTTTATATCGTACATTTTTGGATCAGGGATCTCCCATGTTTCAGTAAGAATAATACAGTCCAGATCAGTTGCCAAATTAATCAAAAATATTTTGAATTCATCATGATTTTTATTGATACTTCTGATATTATTATGAAGAATGTTGGCGTTATCGTTGTGCGAATACCATATAAGAAGTGGGTTTACACCTGGGCCGTATGGCAAGGTGGGTTTACACCTGGGCCGTATGGCAAGGTGGGTTTACACCTGGGCCGTATGGCAAGGTGGGTTTACACCTGGGCCGTATGGCAAGGTGGGTTTACACCTGGGCCGTATGGCAAGGTGGGTTTACACCTGGGCCGTATGGCAAGGTGGGTTTACACCTGGGCCGTATGGCAAGGTGGGTTTACACCTGGGCCGTATGGCAAGGTGGGTTTACACCTGGGCCGTATGGCAAGGTGGGTTTACACCTGGGCCGTATGGCAAGGTGGGTTTACACCTGGGCCGTATGGCAAGGTGGGTTTACACCTGGGCCGTATGGCAAGGTGGGTTTACACCTGGGCCGTATGGCAAGGTGGGTTTACACCTGGGCCGTATGGCAAGGTGGGTTTACACCTGGGCCGTATGGCAAGGTGGGTTTACACCTGGGCCGTATGGCAAGGTGGGTTTACACCTGGGCCGTATGGCAAGGTGTGTTGAGCAAAAAAGGGTTCCACAGTCAGAGCGGAAAATATACAGGGTGGTATGATGATGAGTTGTTACAATATGTTTATGCGCTATCAACTAAGATTTTTGGCTGGTATTGACAATCGGTGTTAAATGTGATGACTGCAACGACGCTTGATATTATATCATGCCAAAAAAAAAAAACATACTGAATAAATATGAAGGTTAAGGTGTTTGGCCATGTATGCCGCAAATATAGAAAGTGTTATACCGAGGTATTGTATGTAGTTTGTATTTATAGCATTAAGGAAAGTTTGATACACAATCGAAAAATTTAAAAATAATTGTATATCAAGACAGTAAACAGGAAAATTCCAGATAGGCATTTTGATGTACAAACGATAAGAATTCAACTGTTGGAATTCAGAATAATAATAATAATAATAATAATAATAATAATAATAATAATAACAGTAATAATAATAATGATGCAGAAGGCCGTCACACTTGGATCATTGCGTCTACTCAGGGCACACGGTAATTGGTCCCAGTGATTACTCACCTCACAGGCTGTGAGGAGTAGTCACTGGATTTTATCCAGCACGACTCTGCGTGACGTCGGAGGCCGCAGGGTCGTGACTGGAATCATATAAACTCAAATGATAATAATAACAAAAATTGAAAAGGAAAACGTTTCAGTTTGAGCTTTCTGGTTTTTGATAACCTGGACTTTTTGGCTGAAGGAATTTCATCTATCATGGTTAGGTTGATATGAATTTGTGGAATGAATTGTTGTGATTTATGATTGAGTATACTATCAAGGTGAAGTTGAGGCTAAAATTGATTGGAGAGATGTTTGGCTAGCAATCCTCTGAAGTCAAGTACGTTGTTGAGATTTGTTGACATCGTATTTGCGAACATGATTGTGAACCAAGCCTCTGAGCTGCCATATATAACTTTTCTTTTGGATACACGTTTGACTCACAAACCTTTGAACTGTCGAATACGTCGCTCACAAATTTGAAATCAAATATCAAAAAATCATGAGCTGCTACTACTTAAAGTCTGTTGAGCGACGAGAGTCGAAAGAGTGCCGGTGTCCCACATATCATGATGTTTACACAATATTTTTTTCAGTGCATATAGATATTTATATATATATATATTAACTGACACTCAATTTCTCGTTTGGATCTAGGTCTACCTCGAGTTCTATACTATATACCTATTGCTCCACAATTTGAAAATTATCATATGATATGGTTCATGAATCGACTATAAAATGTTAGTCCGATGCTTCATCCTCACGGAATCTTGGAGAATAATATATCTACACTTTTTATTTTCATCCTCTTCTTCTCCCGAACTTTAAGGGGTTATTTCATCATCAGCGACATCAGCTTCGGCATTCTATGGACAAACGAGTTTTGGTGGAGGTTTGTTCGACGTGTCTTGGGTTTGACGATAGAGGGGTGCACTGAGTGGGCTTGTCGTATCTTGTCTGCTGGTAATGAAACGATAACAGAGATTTCTGAGATAGCAGAGAGTTATCAAGCCATGTAGGTAATCCAAGGTGGATTGACACTTAGGCCTAGTGGCAAGGTGAGTTGACACCTAGGCCTGGTGACAAGCTGGGTCGACATCTCGACCTGGTAAAAGTGGGTTGACACTTAGGCCTAGTGGCAAGGTGAGTTGATACCTAGGCCTGGTGACAAGGTGGGTCGACATCTCGACCTGGTAAAAGTGGGTTGACACCTAGGCCTAATGGCAAGGTGGATTAGCAATTGTGCTCTCTGACGAGCTCTAAATGACATAAAATTTAGTCAGGATGAAACCGAGCTTGTTGGGCCGAGAGCGTCCCAATCTCAGGATGGCCGTGTTAGCATCTAGCAACTAGATGCGCCACTGCTCAGTGGAATGTGCTTAGATCAGAGCCTATGACAGACGTGTGTAAATACTGGTTCATATAGTATTCGGCGGATGGAAGCCGGGTTGTGATCAAGTGTAACCCTTGTCCATGTCATTTGTGCTCGTGTTTATTAAATTGTGATCATAATATAACAGAGCCACTCAATATTGAAATAATATAGTTTTTATTTGTTCCATTATGGTTAAAGGGTGATGGGAACAGAATGATCCCAGCAAAAACATCTGTTATATTTTCATAACTGTTATATAACATCAACGGAACTTTTTTATATAAAATATTATGTAAATATTCCATAGTAACTCTAGAATATGTAAATCTCGTATTTATATAAAATATTCACGTAAATATATTCCATAACATTTCTAAAATATGTTAACCCCCTATATATTTACTAGCTGATATGTGGGAACTTGCTATCAATATTAATACTGCTATCTTATACAATATCTACATGACTTTTTCATGTATCACATCATTTGTTTGGTAATACTGAGGATGTTTACTAGCGCTTACAGTCAGGAGAAAAAAAAATTATCATCGCGGTGGGAGAGCGACTACATTATCATGCACCAAATGGAGTAGTTGCTTGAGCTTTAGATGTCCACACTGGCGACCCAGGCTCAATGCCTGCGACTTTTCTCATTCTGTTTTTTTATGTGATTTTCCGAAAAATATTCATTTTAGAAAGACGGTTTATCAAGGTCGAGCAAGATAGGTTAGTTTTTTTTCGAATAAAAAGATATTTATATCACTACCTGAAAAAGAACTGTAGGGATTCGCAATTTCATTGATGTTTTCCTCCAGGAGCAAAGCTCTCGGCCATAAATTCTCTGTAGGCTTGATTCTGCGTCAATTAAGGATATTCGTTATGGTGATCAGTACCCGCGGTCTTGCGCTGTAGCGTTGCCTCACCGCGATAATTATTATTTTTCGATCTTGAGCTGTAGCGTTCCCCCTTTTTGAGGTTATAAGTTATAAGTGAAGAGTTGGAGTCTGAAGGTAATAATAATAATAATGAATGTTCTTTATTGGTTAAAACCAAATGGCCATCGACCGAGGTCCTTCAGCCAACTGAAGGTATTTTCGGTATTTTATAACTATTTCGAGTGTTTTTCTTGTTTCCACCATTTTTCTGCGCTGTAGCGTTCCCCCTTCCCAATTCCCACTGGTTGACTTACTGTGAGGTTATAAGTTGAAGGTCTGCTCAGTCTGGAATTGTTTACTTTTTTATGAAAGTTGATAACTTCTGTTTTCTCACTATTTACGCAGATATTTGACTCGTCAAAGTGCGGTATGATTCCCCTG